GAGCGCGTGCAGCATGGCGTTCACTAGGACAAGTATGGCACGAGCACCTCCCGTTCAAGATGCACCGCATGTTTTTCTTATGCTTTGTTTACAGTGCAGCGATCACAGGTCTCACAGCTTTCGTATTGCCGAAGGAGTTTACGGACGAGATTGATTCGACACTCGCCAAGCTCCTCAGATGTCTCATGAAAGGCAGTGCGGCTACTGAATACGATAACGGACGAGTACGGACGATACCCAACAGCGAAGTTTTTGATCATTGGAAGCTTAGCCGCACTGCCACAGAGCTGAGAATTCAGAGAATACGCTGGTGGCAGCAAATTTCGAGGGAGCCTGACAACCATCGTCAGGTGCTCACGGCCATGTTCGGGACAACAGAGCTCGACATGCAGCTGGGCAGGCGCAGGCTCAACCAAGTTGGCACGCTGACAAAATATAGTACTCCTTGGGCAGTGCAGTGTCTTGAGGATCTGAAGTTCGTAGCGCAGTTTGCGCGAGACTTTGACGAAGCATGGACTGACAAGGAAAACGTCCTCTTGCCGTTCCAGGACTCCACCCTCAGTAAGATCTTTGTGAAGATAAACATAGGCTCCCTGAGGCCCCTTATGAGCACGAAGAACATTACAAGATGGAACAAGGTACTACAAAATCTAGGACTTCGGGAGATTTCGGAGGAGGATGCGATCAGGATGGGGATTCTGGAGGTCCAGAGTAACGTTAGCAGCAACAGCAGCATCGCAGAGGAGTTCATATGCACGCACGAGAACGAAGACGGCACTATCTGCGCAAGCACGTTCAACAGCATGAAGGCACTAACAGCACATGTGACGCACGCACACAAGATGAGGAACCTGTATGCGCTACTGGTCACGACAAATGTATGCCCGTGGTGTCGCACAGCCTGTGCGAGTCGTGCATCGTGCCTGCGACACGTTCGCACCATGTCTCAACGGTCGCCTCGTTCTTGCCCGACTCGCTCCACGTCATTCGCTTTTCGGTTCGATGAATTACCAGTGTACTACTGCGGCTTCTGCCGCCACGAGGATACTGAACTACACAGTCATCTGGACCACGTGCAACAGCACGCGCCAGGGCCTGACAAGACACAGCATCAGCCGAGCCACGAGCCGCAGGGCGACGAGCACGATGTGGCGATCGTACGGAGCGAGAAGCGGAGGAAGACCACGATCGGAGACGATGGACCTCGACGCCAGCGCAGCACAGTCACCCAACAAATACGGAGGTGGCAAGGGGAAGACAGGCAATGGCAAGTCGAATGGATCCGCCAACGAGGTGAGCAAGGACGACGAGATGGTGACGATCGAGAAGCTGTGCCTCGACAACGCACAAGTCGTGCGACAACTCTCGGGCAGCTTGTGGGACTTCTACCTGGTCGAGGGAGAGCACACGCCGTCGGAGGCAGGAGCCAACGAGGGCCAAGAGTACGCCAACAAGGTACAGAACGGGGCGAAGAATCTGGGCTCGCCGCACGTGTACATCGGAGCGACGTTCTTCGAGGAGCTGGCCAGCCTGACTACTACGCCGTCACCGTACAAAGAGACCCTCGAGCAGTTCGCCATGCTGATCAACGTCATCCACGTGGACTTCTTCGGGGACATACTGCCGTACTTCAAGGTCAAGAAGGCATACAGCGAGGCAGGGATGGGCACGAGATGGAAGATACACATTCTCTTCAACGCGCTGGCGATGAGCCCGTGGACAGAGGAGAACGAAACCAAGATCAACCAGAAGCGCGAAGCACAGTGACAGGCGCCGATCAAGCTGGAGCATGCTCAGACCTACCACCTCCGCCAGGCGACCCACGTGGCCATCACGAACAGCGGGGGCAATGCCATAGTGGGGGCGCCGCCGCCGAGTGCACTGGAGCGCCGCCTCCAGAACTACCTGCGCGAGAGGCTCGCACACACGTGAGGCAGACAGTAGGTCGCTCAGCCGCCAGCAAGCAAGCAGCTACCAACGAGGCAAGCAAACAGCAAGTAAAAATTCACGAGCTTAGGCAATTAGCAGCCAAAGGCAGCGTGAGGGCAGCAGAGCTGCTTTCGAGACTCGGCAAACGCAAATGACGGTCTGTGGGGGGAGTGGGGGGACTTGTCTGGAGGGTCTTTGCGCAGCCGAGATCTCGTTCAGTAGCCAGAACTATAGCGAGCAGTCTCACGCGTATAGGCCTAGGGGGCATTGCGGACTATGAGAATTGCAGAACACATAGGCTTACGCCAAACCGTGCCAGCAGCCCTCCTGGAGGCCTTGCACAGTTTCATTCTCTCTTTTGAAGGGCCTCCTCTCATCAGGACAGTGCTGCCCAGCAGCTCACTTCGGACGTCCTCCGAGGCGCAGGAGATATGTGTAGTGATGAATGTGCCCAGCCGAATGGACAGGGATCGGCTTTGGAGCGGGAGTTGGGGGAGGGGAGTGGTGGTTTGGAGGGGGGGGAGTGGTTCCTTCATAATGCAGCGACGAGTAGAAACGACCGGCTTCGACTCAAGCAAATAGCGTTTCTTCCGACCCAAGTGCGGTGGGGATGGGCCACAGTGTCATAAACCACCGCCCTGGACTGAGTGTTTGGAGTAAGGACACAGGGGGTTCGGCCCTGAGCCGAAGTGGGCCCAAGGCCTCGTCGGTCAAGAGGGTCCCACAGGCTCCCTCGAGTGTCCGCCTTTAAACTTGCCAGCAGTAACCAGACTCGCCCAAGGCGAGTTACACGCGAATCGAGTTTTCCGACCCGAATCGCACCGCTGCCGAGGCTCTCGACTCGACTCGACTCGAAGGGGAGGCCCCTCCTTGCCCGCGGGTGGCGTGAGTGGTAAGTAGGGCACTTGTCGGCCTGGCCCAAAACAGACCCAAGCGCCACCCCGCCGGGCTCCGAGTGACCTCGGTGAGGTGCGTCGCGCTACTCGGGGAAGTCGCCCACACACTCGCTCTCCTCCTCCTCCTCCTCCTCCTCCTCCTCCTTCTCCCCCTCCTCCTCCTCCTCCTCCTCTTCCCCCTCCTCCTCCTCCTCCTCCTCCTCCTCCTCCTCCTCCTTTTCCTCCTCCTCCTTGGGGAGGAGGCCCCTCCCTGCCCGCGCCCCAAGTGGAGCGCCCTCCGGCAGCAGAGATCGACCGCGCGCAGAGGGGGATGTCGGGGAGAGGGGGGGGGGAAGGCCTCCGAGAAGCGCCCCTGCCTCCTCGAGGGCGCGGGCCTCGCCTATGGATGCAAGGCCGGCGCACTCTAAGACTTTTAAGAAGCAGACTCCATCCGAGAAGCCTCCGCCTGCACCCGGTGTTGTTCTCCCTGGCTTCCAATCCCGACTTTTTCTCCTTTGGGGGCTAAGCCGGTGGTGGCGTAAGTGGTGGATCCTCGTGAGGTCCTATGCGCCACCCACCGGCTAGCCACACTGTTCGAGCACGCACCTTGCGAAGCCGCGCGTCGCATCATCACCACCTCCTTGTTCAAGCAGTGGGGAAGCGTCCTGGCGTGCCTATAGTCCAACCTAGCAATGTTCTAAGAACCTTTTGTGGGTGGTTCCCACGACATATTCTTAGACCATTTCTTGCTGGGACTGCCTTGTCTTAGCACATCGGGCTTCTGTTCTACGGGCATTGTTTTTGTTCTCAGAACATGTCTGGGTTTGAAGAACATGTCGTGGTAGGCCAATGGGAATGCCGGGACGGTCGGTCGCTGCTCAAAAGAAGCCTCCCCCCTCCCTCCACCCCTTTGTTTCGGATGCAACTCCTGGGATGTCAAATTCAGATTTTGCCCTGGTCTGAAGTCCCGCCTAATCTGGCTAGCTCCCGCTTAATCCCGCTTAATCCTGTTCAGTCCCGCTTATAAGCCGAGGCCCATTCTGGCGTAACAGCCCCGCAGCGGAAGACCTCCCAGCAGTTGCTTCCCAACCCTGTGCGCCGCCGAGGAGCACGGTCGTCGGCGGTCGCTGGGCGGTCCTCGTTGGGCAGCGGACGGCCGGCGTGTGGCCGTCCTTCGGGTCGGCATAGCGTCTAGTGCGGCGTCGGACGGCCGGCGCACGTCGCGGGGTCCGTTGGTTTTCTTCGGCGGCTCGTCGAGCAAGCGATCGGAAGGGCCCTGTCGATGGAGTACACATGGTTCATTTCTGATTATTCGAAGGTTCTTTGATTCCTGGGGCGGGCCAGGGTCCTTTCATTTCTACTTGTTCTATCCTGGGCCTCTTCCTGGCCACTAAGGGGCCAGGGATAATTAGAAACGAACACAATGAGAAATGAACACGAACCCCGAAGGGTCTTTCATGACCTCCCTGGGCAAGAATGGGAAACTAGTTCATTTGCCGCAGCTTCTGGACGAACTGGGACCCCAACAATCATTGGAAAATCATTGTCTCTCGCGGCGACCACCGCACAGGCCTCCGCTAGAGTCGTCGCCACCTCCGTCAGGTTTCTGAGGAGGAGGAGGAGGAGGAGGAGGAGGGAGTTGAAGGAGCAGGGAGGCAAAGGAGGATGAGGGACGAGTTTTTCTTCCCCGCCGAGAGCTTCGGGGGGGTCCTCAACATGAGAGGCCCCTCGCGGTTGGGACCGGCGTCTTCTGAGAGGCAGCCTCCTGCGAAGGAGCCTTCCCCCGATCGAAAGGACTATCAAGCCTGCTCGGATGCTGATGTGTTTTGTGTGCCGAGCGCAGGCAGCTTTCGCCCTCCAGGGGCTCTTCAGCCGAAATGGCACTGCACAGAAGCATCGGATGGAAAGGTCGCTCGCATGTACAGTGTTTTTTTTTTTTTTTTTTTTTTTTTTTTTTTTTTTTTTTTTTTTTTTTTTTTTTTTTTTTTTTTTTTTTTTTTTTTTTTTTTTTTTTTTTTTTTTTTTTTTTTTTTTTTTTTTTTTTTTTTTTTTTTAATTTTTTTTTTTTTTTTTTTAAAAAAAAAAAAAAAAAAAAAAAAAAAAAAAAAAAAAAAAAAAAATCTGGACCTTGCTGGACCTGCGCGGGCCCCGCGGGCCCCCCCCGTGCGCGCCGCCGAAGAGCGCGCACGCCCGGAGGCGGCGCCCCCGGAGCCGCCGGAGGCCTCGCGGCGCCCGCGGCCGGGGCGCCGCAGCCCGCAGCGCCGGTGGCGCGCCCGCCTCCTCCGGGGAGTGTCGACGCTGGTCTGGACGCCCGAGATTCAGAGCGTGAATTACCTACCCCGCTTTCGCTTCCAGGCAAAACCAAGCCATACCACGCGCCTCCTCGTCAGGCGGCTTGACCAGTACAGGCTGCAATTTGGCATCGTTTGGTATCTCTTGGAAGCGAGGGTGGTCAAAAGCGAGGTAGGTTTGTTTTCCCCCTAGAGATGGGCACGTAAAGAATGGCTACGATGCCCAGCAGCAGTTCCTGCTCATTCTGAGCAGGACTCGCCGTCCACGCCGCCGCGGCCTGTGTGCATGTGAGGCAGCAGGGCGCCTGCCCAACGGCGGCCGCTGTTGGTTCGGGACAACGTTTGCTGCTGGGCATTGTGCCCGTTCTTTCCGTACCCATTTCGGGCGTCCAACGCTGGGGGGGGTCCAGCTCTCGGCCTGCGAGCGAGGGGGGTGAGCGAGAAGGAGAAGGCCTTCTCAGAAGGCGGCGGGACTTCTCAGAAGCCCTCGCGCCCTCCGAGAAGCTTCTCTCTGTGTCTTCGAGGGTGGCTGGGGACACTTCTCAGAAGGCCGGGGGACTTCGGAGCCTTCCGAGAAGGCCCGCCTCTGCTCACTTTCCCCCCGTGCTCGCCGCCGAATTTCGGTTCGAACGGTCCGCGAGTCACAAGTCGGTAAGTTCCTCCTCCTCCCCCTTCTCCTCCTCCTCCTCCTCCTCCTCCTCCTCCTCCTCCTCCTCCTCCTCCTCCTCATGGGGTCCACTGGTTTTGGAAGTCGATGAGCTACCCTGCGGGGGTCCACTCGGCAGGCTGTGCCACGCGTGCGTGGAATCCCTCCCTTGCAGTTTTCACGGAGGGTCGTTCTGCCTAAGGGTGTTCTTCAGGAGGGAATAAACACACAGGCACCAGTAATCGTCGATTCCCCAGAAAATATGAGAAAATATGGGAAGTGGGGGGGAAGACAAAAAGCCAGAACATGTGGGAGCAGATGGGGAATCCTGTTCTTTGTGTCTATCGATTGGTGTGGCCCAGGGCCCCTTCGGTTCTGTCGACCTTCGAGCCCCTTGCCTCGACGGTCCCCACTGGGGGCAGGGAGTTGTTTTGGCCCCGGGCGGGTTGCCCCGAGGTGCCCCGCGAGTCAGGAGGGCTAAAAAAGCACACGGGCACCAAGAATCGTCGATTCCCCAGACGATATGGGAAAGTGTGGGAGGGGGGGAAGACGAGAACCCATAAAATATTGGAAAGTATGGGGGATCCTGTTGTTCGTGTGTATTTCTGTGTGTGTGTGTGTCCTGGGGCCCCTTCATCGAAGTGGTTCTAGGTCCTTCTTTTTCTGACTCGAGGTCCTCGTACAACTCCCCCCTGCTCTCCTACTTCTGGTCTCCAGGATTCCTGACGGCATGAGGGTGCTTCGCACGCTGCCGCTCTCCCCAGGACTGGCCGTTCGGCCAGCCCTGGGGGAGTAGAAGGAACTAGGATATGAGTACTCTATAGGCTTACGCCACATTCGCCGAGCCCTATATAAACTACTGCGCCTCCAGGACTCGTCGCGGTACAAAATCGTCGGTGTTCGAACGACGCGTGTTTGTCGCTTCTCAAGAGATCGGCGGTGATGTCGGAAGCGCAGAAGAAGCGCAATGCAGTATGGGAGAAACTCTGCCGGAAGTGCGCCGTTCAGCGGGAAAACGCGGTGCTGCGAGCAAACTACGAAGCAGCAACATTGAAACGGAAAGCCGAGGCAGAAGCGAAGCCGCTGACGTGCGCGGCGTGCGGGGAGTCTTTCTCGGACGCGAAACACTTGAGGAAGGGGCAAGTGGAACATCATCGGAAGCAGAAAGGAACCGGAATGGTGTGCGGAAGGTGTGACAGGCGGGGCATCAGTGCGAAAGGCGTAGCCAATGAGTCGAAGCGGTAGAACGGCTGCTGACGTGTGCAGCGTGCGCGAATTCGCTCGGCAGCAGCACATCAGCGACGAACAGGAGAGTAAACGCTTCACGAGGAAGAGTAAAGTTGCATGCGCAGAATGAATTGCCGACGGGCTTACGGCGCGCAGCTGGCAGGGCTATCAGTGCGGCGGCGAGTTGCAGAAGAAATTGCCGAAGTCGGCCGTAACTGTGGACAGGGCCATGTCGCGCGCGACGAAAAAACATTGTGAAATGCAAGGCATGCAGCTGATGCCCGCGTCACGATCCGCAGAAGTAGGACCAACGGGGGTGAGAGCGAGAGGGAGGACGAAGACGATGAAGGAGGAACACCAAGAAGGAGAAAGTGGAGGAGGAGGATGAGGTGGGGGAGGATGGGGAGGTGGAGGAGGGTCAACGGAGGAGGAGGAGGAGGAGTGACGATCTGGTTTGGGGGCCTGTGCTCCCGTCTCTGGTGGCCTTTTTTTCGGGAGGGTGTCCGGCACTTCGGACACCGTGTGTGTCTCCCTGGATCTCGAGACCCTGTGCAGATGTCTGGACTGTGCAGTTGTCATGGCCGTCGGTCCAAGCTGGTTTGGTAGGGGGTCAGAATCTCAGGGGTTCTTTATGGGGTCTCTTCGGAGCGCTCTGGGGGCGGGGGCAATGTCAGATGCTGGTGGGATACTTACTAGGTCGGTGTATTGTCCGTGGCTGACATTTGAAGCGTTCGCCTTTCAAGCCTGGGGAATACATGCGAACGCCCGCGGTCATAGACGGCAGGCGTCGGTCCGAAAACCGGACGAGTGTTTCTCGAATGGCAGGCGGTGTATCCCGCCACCGTGCTTGGGTTGCGGGTGTGCAGCCACACGGATGCTTGATGGGGTCTCGTGGGGGGCCTGACGGAGTCGTCTTGCAGATAGTTTTGGAGCCTCTTGGGGGCTTCCTGGGGGTTTCTGCGAGGCCTTTGAGGTTCTCTTGGGGGTCCCTTAAGGCCTCTTGGGGTGTTATTGGGGCAAGCTGGGGGCGTCTTGGGGCCGAAGGCTAGAAAAAGTGCTGTCTGGACTCCCTCTTGAAGTCGTCCAGGGGCCCTCTTGGGCTGTCTTGTGGGCTTCGTGGGCTGTTTTGAGGACCCCTGTTGGGGGGCCCTTCGGCCGTCCGGGGGCGATATTGAACGTTTCTTTGCCCGTCTTGGACGTTGCGAAAGCCGAAAAGGCGAATATGCGAAACATATTTACCGAACGGCTTTTGCTGATAGGTTTCTAGTGGTATCAAAAGAGAGCAGCAGATGACTCCACAGGGGGGTCGGGGCGGGACCCGGGGCCTGCCGCCGAAGCCCAAATCGCTTGGGACATCCTCGCAAAATCGTTCTTGGCGCTGCTAGAACTCTATCCCCGGCGTACATTTTGGATGCCCGGAGCCAACTGTAGGCCACTTCGTGGTCTTCGAGTTCCCAGAACTCCACTCCCGGCGTACATTTTGGATGCCCGGAGCCAACTGTAGGCCACTTCGTGGTCTTCGAGTTCCCAGAACTCCATTCCCGGGCCACATTTTGGATGCCCGGAGCCAACTGTAGGCCACTCCTGGGCTACATTTTGAATGCCGAGGCAGGCTGATGCTGCGGCCGAGGCAGGCTGAGGCTGAGGCAGGCTGAGGCTGAGGCCGAGGCTGAAGGCAGACTGAGGCTGAGGCTGAAGCAGACTGAGGCTGAGGCTGAGGCAGGCTGAGGCTGAGGCTGAGGCAGGCAGGCTGATGCTGAGGCAGGCTGAGGCTGAGGCTGAGGCTGATGCAGGCTGAGGCTGAGGCAGGCTGAGGCTGAGGCCGAGGCTGAAGGCAGACTGAGGCTGAGGCTGAAGCAGGCTGAGGCTGAGGCTGAGGCAGGCTGAGGCTGAGGCAGGCTGAGGCTGAGGCTGAGGCAGGCTGAGGCTGAGGCTGTGACTGCGACTGCCGTTGCCGCTGCGACTGTCATCGCGAATGCGACTACGACTGCGAGAACAGCAGAATTCTACTACTGGATTTTCATCTGAATCTTAAGGGGAATGCTTTCAGATATGCTTCTACACATCGCTGTTCGGTTGCTTTGCCAGGATAATTTTCTTTACAAAAGGAATGGGACGATCTTGTTTTGTTGCGACCCTTTGGGGATGCATCTTGGAGGCCTTTTTGGGGCGTCTTGGCAGCTTCGGAGGCCGTCTGGAGGCCATCATGGGCGTCAAGGAACGATTTTTCGGCGACTCGTGGCTCTCTGGGACCATCTGGGGAGCGTTTTGGTGCCTTCTTGGCCCGTCTTTGAGCTCTCCGTTCCCCCATGGGGCGTTCGGTCGGGGGTCGTCCCGGGCCGGGGAGGGGGGGGGGGAGGGGAATTGCCGGTTTGGGGTCCATGCGGGGGAAGGGGGGGGATGATGGGGGGGGCAGTCTCACACGCCTAGAGACCCACACGGGGTCGGCGGATTAGTAACGGGGTTGACAGACAGGTAGGAGGGCGGGAGGGAGGAGGGACATCCATCATATCATCGTAACCTCTAGAGGAAAGGAAGAGGAGTGTGGTAAATGGCGGCAGTTAAAGTGTGGCGACGTGGCAGCATAATAGGTGGGTATCGACCCCTTCGAGTCGCCTGGCCCCCCTCGGCTCGGGAAGTTCGGGCCCGAGGTGCCCATCGGACGCCAGGCAGGGGCAACGTCAGGGGGGCAACGTTTGAGGTGAGGTGTGGAGGTCTGGGGGGCTTGCCTCTCCCTCTCTGCACCTCGGGGAGGCCCCTCGTCGCCACCGGTGGGTCCGCTTCGACTTCCTCGGCCAGAGCACAGCCTGGAACGTGTCCAGGGGGGGTCGACTTTATAGAGGGACTTGGTGCTCAGAGGCAACGTCAAGGGAGGACGCATCGGCCCCCGATCGCCCAGTCATCGCCGATGGGGGGCCCCCTCAGAAAGCGCGGTGTCGCCATCGGGGGCCCATGGCCTGGGCGAGGGTCCTTGGGGTCGGACGAGATGGGGAGGAGGAGGAGGAGGAGGAGGAGGAGGAGGAGGAGGAGGATGAGGAGGAGGAGGAGGAGGAGGAGGAGGAGGAGGAGGAGGAGGGGGAGGAGGAGGGACGGTCGTGGGACGCTGCATGCAGCAGGGTTCGGCCCCGCCGCCGGGCACGTTTCTCGATGGGTGGGCGCCTCGGGCGCCGGGAGGCGCCAGGAAAAAAAAGCTGCGTGAGTGGATTCGGTCGGTCCCCCTCCCTCGTGACTGGGAAGGTGGCCCCTGGAGCAGACCGCGCGAGGCCCAGAGGGCCCCCCCGTGGGGGCCCCGAGTGGCGCGAGAACCTGGGGGGGGGGCACCGCAGGCCAGGGACGCTCCGAGCGTCGCTTTCTCCCGCAAGCGGGGCGAAGAGCGAGGAGGGTCTCCAGGAGCCATCGGTCGACGAGCATCCCAACACGATGGATCGATCGATCGGCCGACGCCCTGCGCCGTGGGGGGGAGCTGCGCGGCGGGGTCCAGAACGGGGAGGCCTCGCATTCGGCGGAGGCCGGCGGCGGCGGGCGGAAGTGAAACTCGGGTATGGCCAGGACCCCGGGTAAGGGGACCCGGTTAGTGGTAGGGCCCCGGAGCCTTCGAATTGGCCAGAATCACTAAACCAGGTATGCCATAGCTGGTGCTTTTTCGGGTGACGGCAGTTCTGGTTAGTGGAGATGGGACGGGGGGGGGCCCCCGGTACAGATCACTAAGCCAGGTTCCACTAAACCCAGTTCTACCAACGCCCGAGAAACGGCGGCCGGTGCGCCGGGCAGCGGAAGGTCGGAGGAGCGCGGTTGAAGCTCGGGCGGGTGGTGCAGTGGAGACCCATGCCAAGCAACACCCTGCTTGCCTCCAGGGTGCCCTGGGTTTCTTGGATCTCGATGGTTCTGCGAGTGGAAGCGTAGCGTTCCCACACCAAACATCAAGGGACGCCTTGGGGTTCCAGGGTGGGGTTTCTCGTGGAAGTTTTTTCTTGTGGTCGGGCTCCTACTGTAATGGGGGTGACCTACATGGGTGGTGGGAAAGGGCCCTACAGGGGCACTTTGGGGCCCCTTTCGGGCCCCTGCTGGCTCCCAAAAGGGATCCTGAAGTGCCCCTTTCGGGCCCTTCTCTTGACCCCCCATTAGTAGTTCCCTCCCCAGTACCACCCGCCCGAGAGTCAGAAACGAGACGTCAGCATGTTGGGATTCAGGGCGTCCAGAGTCGGCCATCTGAAGATCGGGGGGGGCAGAGGATCATTCCCCCTCCTCTCCCTCCTCCGCACCCCCTTCTCGCCGCATCGCTGATGGGGGGGGGTCGGTAGGGATCCGAAGAGCTTCACGAGATATGCAGAGGTCTCCTTGGAGGTCTCCGAGAGAGGTTTCGGATGAGTCTTCACGGACCTTGGGGGATCATGTGGCCCTGGATTTGCTTCAGGCTATGCTCTTCCCTCCTCCTCCTCCTCCTCCTCCTCCTCGACTTCCAGGGCATCCACAGCTCGTAACAGCGGTGCGAAGCCCTGGAGTCGCGGGGCCGTGGGCAGCCCCGTGAGCTGTCGGGGGCCTTCTGCATGTTGGCAGCTGCCGATGGCTCCGCCGCGCTCGTCTGCCTCCTGGGAGGAGGAGGAGGAGGAGGAGGAGGAGGAGGAGGAGGAGGAGGAGGAGGATGCACCCTCGCCTCCAAGGGAGACCGGCCGATGCACCCGCCTTGCCTCGGAGTCGGCTGGGGGTCCGAGGCGGCCCAGCACCGGTTCCGGCGAGCAGCACCGAGGGGGGGCGGGGTCCGAGGCTCTGAGTTCGGGCAGGCTTGTTTCCCTTTTTGGCCTCCCGTGGCCGTTTTCGGCCCCCCGGACTGTGAAAGCACGGCTCTGGGGTGAAACAAACGCGGCACCAGATGGGCCCCGCGAGGGGTCCGGGGTGTCCAGGGTCTGGGGACGGATGTTGAGCGGATTTGCTCGTACCTGTTCCTCTTGACCGGCCTTCCTGGGGCCCGTCCAGTTCAGACCCTCCATCCGCCTCCGGGTCCTTCCTATGTCCGCCCATCGGTGGCCGGCCAGTGCCTCCTCTGCTCTTCAGGAGGTGCCCTCCGCAAAGGGGTCTGCATCGAAGCAGACGAAGCAGACGATCGGCATACAGTCGGGGCCCTGAAGAAGGAACCCTTTTCGTTGGGGAGGGGCTCCGCGTTCCTTAAGTCTTTCACAGCTGGCTTCAGGTTTTCCTCATGTTTCCGATAGGACATTGAAGTTTAACTCGTGGAAAAAAAGGGGCCTCGTTCCTTATTGAGGGTTCCTTAGGTCAACGCCCCGACTGTAGACACGAGCCTGCCGAGCTCCGCGCGGACTCCTCGCATCGGCGATGATCGGCCGCCCGTGGCGGCGCCTCCCCGCGCCGACCCTCGCGCCGCTCCGCGCGCCACGCGCGGCGGGGCCCAGCGCCGATCCGAGACAGCCGCGCGGAGCTCCGAGGGCGTACGTCTATCAGGGTCGTCGGCCTCGTCGTCGTCGTCGGGCTCGGCCTCGTCGTCCTTGTCGTCGTCGCCGTCGTAGTCGTCGTCGTCGTCGTCGTCGTCGTCGTCGTCGTCGTCGTCGTCGTCGTCGTCGTCGTCGTCGTCGTCGTCGTCGTCGTCGTCGTCGGCCTCGTCGTCTTGTCCTCGCCGTCGTCGGAGACGGGGATGTGACGGAGGGGTCTTCCCCACTTCAGGGCCACCCAGGAGGGGGGCAGAGCACAATCAGGGATAGGCGCATCGCTTCAGCCTCACTGTGGCCAGCCAGATTAGCGACAGAGTCCAGGGCCACTCTAGATGAGACGTAGGAGTGACCCTTCGCCAGAGTGACCTTTGGTGCGTGCACATTGGGGTCCCCCGATGGCCGAATGCGATCCGATAGCAGCAGGTCGCGCGCTCGGATTTGGCCCCCAGCGACCCCCTAAAGCCGCGCACCAAAGGTCACTCTTGCCTAGGGTCACTGTTGCGTGCAGCCGGATTCCGGACTGAAGGCCAGCAGCTAACCGTCTCGGAGCTCCTGGAGATTACCTGGTTGCTTCTCCTCTGCGTCCCTCGTCTCCCTCGTCGTCGTCGTCGTCGTCGTCGCCGTTGTCGTCGTCCCGAAGTTCCTCCGCCTGCCTAGGTGGCGCCCACCGCCCCTCCGCCGAACCCGCTCGCGGCGATGATGATGGGCATGCCGCCGGCGGGGGGCGCGCCCGACGCTGGTGCCGCCGGCGGTGCCCTAGGGTTCCTAGGTGGGTTCGGAGCGGGTGGAGTCGGAGGATCGCGCCGCATCGGCGATGCATCGCCGATGCGGCTCGATGTGGAGCCCGATTTGCTTTCACGTCGACGTCGCCGATGCATCGCCCACGTCGACTATACATCGCTGGTCCATCGCCGATGCATCGCCGATGCATCGCCGATGTACCGGCGATGCAGCGCGATCCCCCGACCCTATCTACTCCGACCCCATCTTGGAGGCCTCTAGGTGCCGCGCCGAACTTCCAACAGCAGATGATGCAGCAGATGATGTCCAACCCTCAAATGATGCAGGTGCTGCTGGGGGATCCCAGATCATTGGGTACCAGTTTTGTTCGGTCGCGATCGGTAGCGACGGGTCGGCACTGCAAATCGGTCGCGACGGGTCGCGACCAATCACCACCGGTTGGTCGCGACCAATCGGTCGCGACCGATTTTGAAGCAAGCCGGTCGCGAGCAATTCCGGAGTTTGAAGCAAAAATCGGTAGTGACCGACTTCGCCTGGCGCGACTGGAAAATCCAAGTAGCGAGTGATCAGGAGGACTGACATCTGGGCGTTGCTATTTCGGGCCCCAGGGGCCCTCGCAGATGGATCCGGCTCGAAACAACAGGCATCAGAAAGGTGGGGTCGAGGGCTCCAGTTGTGATTGCTCGCGATGTGCAATTTTGTCGCAACGCCGGATCTGGGGGGAGAATGGAGCACTTTACGGGGAGGAAGACGAGGAGTAGGAGGAGGGGGAGGAGGAGTAGGAGTAGGAGTAGGAGAAGGAGGAAGACGGAGTCGCCTGGGGGGGTCTGGCTAAGCGCCAGCAGACTGTAGAACTTCACCAAACATGAGGAACGCTTGCCCAAATAGGAGAAGGGAGTGAGGAAGGAGGAGGAGGAGGAGGAGGAGGAGGAGGAGGAGGAGGAGGTCGGAGGAGGACGAGAGTGTAGGGACAAGGGGAGTAAAGAGGAGGGAGGAGGGATGGGTAGGAGGGAGCAGGGAGGGAAAGAGGGTGGGAGGGAGCACGAGGAGGAGGAGGAGGAGGAGGAGGAGGAGGAGAAAGAGGAGGATAATATGGAAGAAGAGCGGGGAAGGAGGAAGGGATGTCCTTGTTACACACACACTGTGCAGATTTCTCTGTTCCTTGATTTGCCCTGGGCGCCTTTGAAGACCTCTACAACGTCTATCAGGACCTTCTTTCGGATACTGTTGGGATTGCCTGGGGACCTTTCTGGGGCGCCTTCGGGCATCCTCTCCTCCTCCTCCTCTTCCTCCTCCTCCTCCTCCTTCTCGTTGGCCTGCACGATCTTCCATCCACTTCGTGTCGAGCTTGTGCAATGGGTTCACCTGCTCAGCAACTATAAGGACAGCTTTCCATACGCCACGCGGCGCTCACGAAACAGCAAACAACGGCCCGCACTATGGGCGTGCGTTCCTCATCCTCCACTTGCTCATCACCCCTCTTCTTTATCTCCAATGCTTCGCGAGCTTTACTTTGGAGCGCGACGATACATTTCCTGGGAGCGTGCGGAACATGTTCAGGGCGGCCATCGAAAATTCCTGGCGCGTTCGCGGGGGAGCTTTCCCATGTGAGCGCCCATGGGAGATCTCCCAGGATCGGGGTCACCCAGACGGTGCGGTGGCCGCATCATGTGGTGAGTCAATGGGGATTCGGGGTGTCCACGGTTTTGGGACTTGGGTCGCGTTTCGGGGTCCCCAAAGCTAACAAGGGGAGTGCCTGGTGGAACGACAAAGTACCGATACCACTACTCCGCAGACCTCTCCTCAGGTGCGTTCTGACTAGAGTGTCGAGGCGACTCCAGCCGTGGCGACGAGGGCCTCCCAGGAGGCCCAAAAAGACAAGATTGAGGCCATGGTACGGCAGGTTCGCGTCGTGTCTACTGGCGACGACCCCGCCACCAGCGTTCAACGTTGAACGCGACCGGCGACCCAGAATAGGTTGATGTTAACTGATCTGGCGGTTCGAGGACGGCCGATCTTTCAAGGTCGAACGATCCCCGCGGTGTCAGGACCCAACGCCAGGGTCGACGCGACGCAAACCTGCTGTACACCCATCAGAAATCTTATGAACAAGACATGGACTCCAGATATCGTTCTAAGAACATCCAGAATTTGGACTGGAGCCTGGGCGTTTTCATGGATCTTCTTCATATATGATGCTCTTAGATCTGAACCTGGCCTGTTGTCTAAGAGAACGCTTGGCGTGAAATGCATTTTCTGAGCCGTAAGGTGTCCTAACTCCTAGCAGTTGTCGCCGTTGTTGTTGTCATCGCTGTTGTTGTCTTCGTCGTTTGTGGCCACGCCGCGTGGGAAGACTCAGCGGCCAGTCGGACAGTTACGCAGTACGCGCGCGTCTCAACATGCACCATGGATGTATCGCCGTTCTCTGCCTGACCTCCCGCGGACTCGAAGCAGCACTGCCGGCAGAGAGTCGCAGCCGGTCGACACTTCTCACCACCCTGCCAGTGCACATCTGCACGGCACAATTTCTGCCGATGCGCCGTCGAGGCGCTTGGCTCCTCATTTGCTTGCTTGATTGATGGGCCTGTTCACCACCATAAGTTGGAGAAGGGAAGGAGGAGGACGACGAAAAGGAGGAGGAGGAGGTGGAGGAGGAGGAGGAGGAGGAGGAGGAGGAGGACCCCTTCCCCCTCCAACTTCTGGCTTAAGTCGGGCATGCCCCCCTACAGGGGGATTTTGGGCGAAAAACTGCAAAACTAAAAAACATATTTCCCAAATGCAAACAAATAGTCAAAACATCGTCCCCAGACTATTTTTGTTACTATTGTTGAGTTTCCCTCCTGTACAGGGACAGGGCCGACTTAAACTGACGGTGGTGGTGGTGGAGAACACGCCCATCACTTGAGCATCCCATGACGACGTGCCTCCACCCCTGCTCTTCTCGGGTATAGCCAGGACCCCAGGTAAGGGGCCCCGGTTAGTGGTAGGGCCCTGGAGCCCCTAAATTGGCCAGAATCGCTAAACCGCAGCCCCTAAATTAGGGGCCTACATTGGCCCCTCATTGGTCTGCCGCAGCTCGTGTTTTTTCCGGTGACGGCAGTTCCGGTTGGTGCGACGGGGCGGGGGGGGGCGTCCCCAAGTACACATCCCTAAGCCAGGTCCCACTGCAGTCGGCCCGGATTGGTAGGTCGACCCTGCCAAAGCAAGGGTACTCTTGTGTCCTGGGTCTCGCGGCCCATGCCTCTTACGTTCCTGTGGCAATTTGGCCCTCGGAAGTCACCGCCCACCAAACCACCCCAACCCAACCCGAAGGCTCAGATTTACCCTCGATTTCCAGTGGGGGGGGGATCGGGAAACATCGAAAACACACATGTGGAACCCTGACCCCCCCCCAACCCGAAATTCGGGTCTTCGGGTTGGGTTGGGGTGGTCTGGTAGGTAGCCAGGAAGGGTCTCGTGCCCTCTCGCGGGTCCTGCCCAACCGAGCCCGACTGCAAACCCAGCTCCGCCAACGCCCGACCTCTGCGAGGTCCCACTGCAGTCGGCCCGGATTAGTAGGTCGACCCTGCCAAATCAAGGGTACTCTTGTGTCCTGGGCAGTTTGGCCCTCGGAAGGGTCTTGTGCCCCCGGAAGGGCCCTGTGCCCTCGGAAGGGTCTTTGCCATTCCTGTGGCAATTTGGCCCTCGGAAGGGTCTCGCGCCCTCTCGCGTGTCGCGGGTCCGGCCCAACCGAGCCCGACTGCAAACCCAGCTCCGCCGACGCCCGACCTCTGTGCGAGCAGCCCCCCCCCCCCCCCCTGCACCGCACGAGCGGGGGCGCGTCGGCAGGGGCGGGCCCGGCGCTGCGCCCGCGGCCTCCTCGCCACTTGTGTGTGACGTCGGGCCTGTCCCTCGACAGGAGGGATATTTGAAACGACGCGAAGATCGGGACAAAGTCGGATCGGGATAACTCGAAAGCTCTGAGAATCGGCGGGTTTGGAGGATGTATTGGGCGCCGCGGCCGCTCCAGAGCGTTCCGGAACGCTCTGAGAGCGGTCCGGAACGCCCTGGAGCGATTTATCCCGATCCTAGCCCTGTTTTAATATAGCAAAAACATAGCCTGGGGACGATTCCCTGTATGGGGGACACGCCCGACTCAACCCTTGTGGCCCCGAATCTTGGAATTCCCAACTCGGCGGCGAGCAAGGGGGGGGGGGAAATGAGGAGGAGAAGGCCCTCTCATAAGGCAGCGGGGCTTCTCAGACCCCCCCCCCAGCTTTTCGAGAAGCCTGCTGCGTCTTCGGGGAAGGCTCAGAGAACTTCCAAGAAGGCCTGGGAACTTGCGAGCCTTCTGAGAAGGCCCGCCCCTTCTCGCTTCCATCCTGGACTCGCCGCCGACTCACCCCTTGTGGCCCTGAAGCTTGGAATTATATCCCCACCAGCCCATCCAGAAACGATGTCCAGGCGAGTTGAGGTGATCAGGGAAGTGCGGCAGCAAAGAGGAGGACGGCCGAACCGTGCAAAGGAGTGAGGAGGAGAAGGAGGAGGTGGATGGATGGATGGATGGATGAGGGAGTGGGAAGAAGGAGGATGAATAGGATGAGGAGGAGGCGGAGGAGGAGGAGGAGGAGGAGGAGGAGGAAGAGAAGGAGTAGGAGCAGGAAGGAGGATCAGGAGAAGGAGGAGGGCAAGCACAAGGGCCAGAGGTCTCTTGGATGCCTCTCGGAGCCTCTTGGGGTATCTCTTGGGCGATTCTTGGTGGCCTCTTGGGACGTCTTGGGAGTCTCTTGGCGATCCTGGGGGGCTCTTCGGGGTCTTGGGTGCCTCGGGGGGGGGCCTCTTGGGGCCGCTTAGGGTCTTCTTGGGGGCCTCCTGGGGGCCTCTTGGGGGCCTTTTGGGGCCATCTTGGGGCCATCTTGGGACCTCTTGGGGCCTCCTGGGCGCTTCTTGGGGCCATCTTGGAGGAGATCGGTCAACGAAGGGGGGTTCCTCAATTACGTCTCCCCCTCAGGAGCACCCAAAATCGCATCCTGGACCCATCTTGGAGCGTTCTTGGAGCGCTCTTGGACGCTCTTGGGACCGTCCTGGGGCTCTCTTGGTCCCTTATTGGACCCCTGTTGGGCCATCTTGGAGCGATGTTGAGGCCTCGGATGGGCATCGGAAGCACAAAAGCGACAACGCCAAAAATATTGATGTTCCCTATGGCCTGGTCGGGGCGTCATTGGGGAGCTCTTTTGGCAACTTAGACCCGTCTTGGAGCGGTCTTGGAGCGTCTTGGAACATCTTCGGAGTTATATCGAGGCATCACGCGCTATGTTGAGCTATCTTCGACGCTATCTTGGGCTGCTGTGCGGCCCTCATGGAGCCATCTTGGGCCATCTTGGACACTCTAACTACCCGCGGCCCCCCCGTCCAGGTCCAGGGGAGGGGGTAGGGGGGAGGGGTCAAGTTCCCCCCTCCCCGCCCGCAAGCAGTCCCGCTCACTCCCACCCGCCCTCCCAACACATACGTAGCATTCGAGTGTGGCCCGAGCCTCAGCATATTCAGCAGTCGGCTTTGGATGGGCAGCTACTGGGAGCCAATCCGCCGCCGCCGCCGCCGCCGCCGCCGCCGCCGCCGCCGCCGCCGCCGCCGCCCCCCGCTGCCTAACCGCCGCCGCAGCCGCAGCCGCTGCCGCCACCGCCGCCCGCCGCCGCCGCCGCCGCCGCCGCCCCCGCCCGCCCGCTGCCGCCGCCGCGCCGCCGCCGCACCGCCGCCGCAGCCGCCGCCGCAGCCGCTGCGCCGCCGCGCCGCCGCCGCCGCCGCCGCCGCCGCCTGCCGCCGCCCCCGCCGCCCGCCGCCGCGCCGCCGCCGCCGCCGCCGCCCCCCGCTGCCTAACCGCCGCCGCAGCCGCAGCCGCAGCTGCTGCCACCGCCGCCGCCGCCGCCGCCGCCGCAGCCGCCGCAGCCGCCGCCGCCGCCGCCGCCGCAGCTGCCGCAGCCGCCGCCGCCGCCAAGTGTACTCTGTAATGTTTTTTTTTTTGACAGGGATGGTGGCAGGGGGCCGCATCGGGTTGGCTGCGCATGTTCCGAATTTGGAGGCAACATGTGTTTTGTATTGTTTTTTTACCAGGGATGGTGGGGGGGAGGTGTCGGCATGTACTCGGGTTGGCCCCCAGTCGCCTGGGGGAGGGGGTGTTTATTAATAGGGAACAGTGATAAACCCCTCCCCGAAGGGGAAGAGGGAGGGGTGGAAGAGGAAACGCCCTAAACCACCGACGCCCCCAGGGCTGGTGAGATTCCCAACAACTGCACTTGTGTTGATGAGCGAGCAGAAGGCACCCACACCCATAGGGGGGACGGACGGGGGCTATGGGTGCGTGCTGTCGGAGGGGGGTCCCAGTTCGAACGGGAGCCTCTCCCAGACTCCGACAACCCGCACCTATACCCATAGCCAGTCCTCCCCCCTTCCGACCCTCCTATGGGTATGTGTGTGTGTGTGTGTGTTGTTCGTTCGTCGTGTGTGGTGCTTCGTGGGAGCCTCGGAGGATTCCACAATGCCTCGCGCGGGGGGGGGGGACGGCAGGTTTGCGCCGCGTCCGAGGGGGGATCGAAGGCCACCAGCCGCCATGACCAGGCCGATCCTATGGAGCGAACTCCGCCATCGAAGAGCGCTGGTCGCTGAGGGCTGGGCGATGCGCGCGGTGTCAGAAGCCAAAGCCCGCTTCGACGCCCAGAGGAGGGAAAGGTACCGATACCGCTAGCCTTGCCTCGTTTCCCCTTTCTGGGCAACCTGGGAGGCTCTCGTCGCCACCGCCGGATTCGCCTCGGAATTGTGGCCAGAGCGCACCTCAGGAGAGGTCTGAGGAGTGGCGAGGTCACGGGGCCCTCCGACAGGCAGCGATGCAGATGGCCCAGGGGATGATGGCGGGCAACAACCCGGCCCAGGGCGGCGCGATGGGCGGCGGGATGGGCGCCGCGAACCCCATGGCCCCCAACCCCATGGCGGCCATGATGCAGCAGATGATGGCGGGCGGCGCAATGGGCGGTGCGAACCCCATGGCGCCCGCCGGCAACGCCGCGGGCGACGCCGCGGACGCTCCAGTCCCGGCGGGAGCGGAGCTGAACCCTATGGTGCCTGGGCGTGGAGCAAGAAACCGCTCACCTCCCCACCTCCCGACTCAGACATGCTCGCGTCCTGAAGGCTCACGGCGGGAAGCTTCTGGCCAGTTTGGGGCTTCCAGGGGCCCTCGCCAGGCCTGGGAGACCGACAAAAAGCGACTCGGGTCGAAAAGCCAGCCTTCTGGAGAGGGTCGGGGCACCCCGAGTGGAAAAAATGGAAGCATCGGATGTCTGGGGCTCCGCCTCGCCTTGCGTTTTCTTTGTCCCCAGGCCCCTCCCCCGCCCCGACCGACGAGGGTCGTGGTGGGCAACCCATGCCGTGCCCCCAGGCGGGGCTGCAATTCCTGGGAGGTTGAATTTCAGCGTCTGCGCTGGTACATATACCCACTGCTCGAGCACCGTTCTGCCGCGGCCTTTCTCTGCTCAATCTGGCGCTTCGCCCGGCTCTACCGTTGGTTCAATCCGGCCTGGTCTGGCTTGATCGGGTTCAGGAGCCCCTAGTCGCTCCCATGAAGACCTCCCAGGAGCTGCCTCCTATGACCCAAGGTGTGGAGAGATACCGCCACTCCTCGGACCTCTCCTGGGGTTCGTCCAGCCGTGTTGACGAGGGCTCCCCAGGACGAGCAGCGGTATCGGTATCTCTTCCTCCTCTGAAGGTGCGCGTCCGGTTCGCTTCGCAGCTGTCGCAGCTGTCGGCCATGGGCTTCTGCAACGAGCCGGCGTGCCTGCGCGCGCTGCTGCAGCACCAAGGCCGGGTGGACGCCGCCATCGACACGCTCCTCTCGTCCCCCGACGGCGGCGCGTGAGGCTCGGGCCGGCCACACCCCTCTCGACCAGAGCCCCTCTGAGGGGCAACGACAGGGAGACTGGCTCTTGTTTGGAAATTCGAGTGTGCGAAAGTCCCAGGCGTTCTCGTGGGCTTTCGTCGATGCCTTCCAGCCTCGGCGTGGAGGCCTTCCGGCGGCGGCGCGTCGCCGAGGGCGTTCCACAGGGGTGCCCGGATCGTCCCGCGGGCAGCAGTCCGGGGCCCCCGGGATGGCCCGAGAGCCGCCAGGGACGGGTTGGGAGCTCAGAGGGGGAAAGCTTGGCGGCGCGCTGAGGGGGGTAGGGGGAGGGGGGAAGGCTTCTTAGAAGGGGGCTGCTTCTCGGCAGGCGCCGGCCTTACATTTGCAGAGAGGGCCCGCGCCTTCTAAGCAGCAGGGGTGCTTCTAAGAAGCCTTCCCCCCTCCCCATACCCCCCTGTGCGCGCCGCCAAAAAGCGTCGACCCCCAATCGCTTACGAATCGCCACCCCGGGCCTTGGCCCCCCCCCACCCCGCCCAGGAGCGTTTGGGGGCGCCCCGTCGAGGGCCTGCGGCCGATCCCTGCATCCTCGAGGCCGGGTCACTGCCTTCGCCCCGCCGAGCCCGCCCCCCCCGCCCGCCCGGAGGAGGAGGGCCCGCCCAGAGGAGGTTCAGGGGGAGGAGGAGGGGAAGGAGGAGGAGGAGGCGGCGGAGGAGGAGGAGGAGGAGAAGGAGGCGAAGGAGGAGGGACTAGTGTAAGCCCAAGACTCATGAAAGATGTAAAGATGTTGAAATACACCCTTCCTTGAAGATCCCTCGTCGAAAGGCCCCGTACAAGCGGAAACTCCACTGAGGAAATTGCCGGGGGACAACCGTGTGAACGTCTTGAAGCGTACCAAAACATTTTTTCTTGGGACTTCAATGCCACGAGCTACTGACTGTCACGTCTTGGTGATCCTGAATCGTGTTGGAGCACCACTTTGGGACATCAAGACAGCGAATCAACGTAACCGTCGCGCACTGACAATCTTGAGTCGTTATAAAGCACCAGGTCTGGTTCGTTGACCATGAGAACCAATGAAGCTTTGCACATTTGTATAGCGAATGGACGCGGCGCTGCGGCGATAATCACATTTTGAAAAAGAAGCCGCCCTCAATCCGTGAGAATATCGAATGCGCGCGGTGCTAAAGAGATAACCACAGTTTGAAAACCACTCGCCCTCAATCGGTAACACTCTTGCAAGTTTGTCAAACGAATGCGTGTGGCGCTAAGGCGCGGGCCACATTTTGAAAGCGACCCGCCCTCAATCCGTAAAGCTCTTGCCACATTTAAAAGCGAAAGTGCGCGCGGCGTTACGGCGAGAACCACATTTTGAAAACCACCCGCTCTCAGTCAGTGAAGTTTTGTTCTCCAAACATTGAAGACGAAGGTGCGCGGCGCTGAGGCGAGAGTCACATGTTGTGAACGACCCGCCCTCAATCCGTGAAACTCTTGCAAATGTTGAAAGTGAAGATGTACGGTGCTAAGGCGAGACGCACATTTTGAAACCGACCCGCCCTCAATTCGTGAATCTGGTGCAAAGTTCTATAACGAATGTGCGCGGCGCTGAGTCATAAGAGGTGGGGAAGTCTCAAGCGAAACGCCTGGCCCGCCCTTTCAACCAGCCTCGGGGTGCGACAAGGAGAGGAGGTATCTATCAGGAAAAGGGGAGGGGGGAGAACGGAGGAGGGAGGAGCAAGGAAGCAAGGGGTCCCCCCCAGCGCGCTCCCATCGGGCGCGCTCCCCTCGGTCGCGCTCTCTCCTCCTTGGCCCCGCGGGCCATGTCCGCCTGGCCTGTGCCATGAAGCGTGCGGCGACGCTCCGTCGCCAGGCAAGTGCCTCAGCGCGCTCGCGGACATCACGGGTAGGCGCCACCCCCAGAGGGCAGACACGCCTGCATAGGGGTTTGAGACCGCCCGGCGCCACCGGAAGCATCGCGGACGGTCATATCGAGACCCCTGCGCCGCTGGCCCCGGCAGCTGCGCCGCCGTCGACTCCGCCATTGGCGAGCCGCTGGCCCTGGCGAGGGCCCCCACCAGCGGGCTTGCTGCCTGGCCCGCCGGCGGCCTTGGCCGGTCCGCCAGCGAGGACATCAGCACTAGCGCAGCAGCCCCCCTCAGGAGCAGCGGAAGCGGTGACCCCACTCAGAGGTGCACGCAGTGCGCGCAGCCCTGCACGGTGGCCTTGGTCGATGGGGACCGCAGGCTTTGCGTCAAGCGCCAGGCCCACCGGTGCGACATCGGAGGATGCTGCGCAGCTCCAGTCGACTGGATCCGGAGCGGCACTGCGCAATCCGCTCTCCAGCTGGTGCGCACTCGGCATGCAGGACGATCTACGTTGGCGGAGGCGACACGGTCCTCAGCGCGGCACACCGCGCCTTCGGCGGCGCGGAGGCAGCGAAGGAACTCCGGACGCTGCGGGCCCGAGTGCCGCGCCACCTCCAGCCTCGGTGCGATGCTGGGGCTCGGGCCCTCTTCCTCGGAAGGGGCCGCTGGGCCGCTGACTGGCGAGGGGCTCAAACAGCTCTTCTTTTTGATCTGCAGGGGGAACGCCTATAGAGGCAGCCGACCGGGCCGAGCCAGCGCCCGGCCCGGCCGATGTTATTGTCCGTGCAATGTGGAGCGAGAGCATCGTGGACGGCCGCAACCGATGCTCCACCCTGCTGGCTGGAAGCGTCGCCATGGTGGCCGCCGCGCTGGGGAGCTCTGACAAGGCGACCCTCTGATCAGAGCCGCTATCATAGTGGCCTTTTGTATCCTGCCAGGCGTTGGATCGAGCGCCTCGGGGGTCGTCTTGCCGCCGATACTTCGTGGGTCCATGGCTTCGCCGGAAGCCCTGCTGCGCTGGCCACCGCGGAGATCAACGCATGCGCGGCGGAGGGCTTGAACCCGCTCGCGGCAGCGCCAGCCAGCCGCAGAGCTGGGCCCGCGCGGCTGTGGCCCAATACCTCAGCGGGGGGGCCTGCCCAAGGCCCGGGACCTGCTAGTCCGCGCCTGGCACGTGGAAGTGGAGAGCTGGGGAGAACGCTCGCGGGGACTCCGAAGACGACTCGAGCGCTTGGCCGGGAGCCTCGTGGTCGACCTTGCTCGGGATGGTCCCGGTCATCGCCCGCGAGCTGCAGCGAGGCTCCACCCGGCGCGCCGCTCTGTGCGCCATGCTGGCCCAGGGCTGGGGCAGCGGGCCCCCTGGGGTTCGTTGGGCCGCCAGCGGGCTTCCTGGAGTAGTTCGCGCGGCCAGGGCTGGCTGCCCGCCGCTTCCTTGACAGGTTGGGCGGCTGGCCCGGCCAGACCCGCCTCGGCCACCGGGCCGGGGGCCGCCAGGGCCCGCGCGCGGGGTCTCCACGGCGGACGCGAGGCAGGCCTGCCAGGAGATGCGGGAGCTGCTCGTGGGCGACCCAGCCCGGCCGTCGTCCTTGGAGACGGAGGCCGAGGGTCACCGGCGGGCCCTCCATGCACTGCGCGGAATCCGGGATTCGCTTCGCGCAGAGGTGCGTCGCGGTGCGGCGCCCGGCCCAGCTGGGCGACGCGATGCCAGCGCACGTCCGCTGGAGGGTCGAGGCCTCCTGCAGGGCCGCCGCGCCAGGGCCCGCGCTGCGCGGGAAGGCAGCGGGCGCGCGGCGGGCGCCGGGCCGGCCCGCGGCGGCGCGGCGCTCGCGGCCCGCGCCGCCGCGGGCGCCACCGCGGGGGGCAGCTGCGACGCCGCCCGCGGGCGGCCGCGCGGCGGCGGCCGCGATTTCGCGGCAGCCCGCCGCGGCTGGGAACCCGGGCTCCCGACGAGGCCGGCGGGCGCCGACGGCCTCCGCGCCGCAGGGGCGCAGGGGGGCGCCCGCGGTGGCCGCGCGCGGCGGCGCGCGCGCGCGCGCGACGAGGCGAGGGCGGCCAGCGGCGGTTCGGCCCGCGGCCGCCCCGGGCCTGCCTGGGCCGCTGAGCAGGCGCCGACGCTGCAGCCCCTGGGGCAGGCGCCGCGCAGCCTTTTGGCGCCGGCGCCGAGGCAGCCTCTGGCCCTGTCGCAGGGCAGGCGCCGACGCTTACGTAGCCCCCATCGTATTTAAATCACAGAGCGCGTTCCATTACTCGCAAAGTGCCGATTCGCAAACGTCAGGAACAAATGAACATGTCTTCCTCCTTATCGAATGTATCGTGGATCCCCCGCGGAGGATCTCGGCCATTTGCGAGTAGTTACTTCGCGAGTAGTGGTACGCGCTTGCCCATTTAAGGACCATGCCCCAACAATAATTTCGAGCCCCCGGAAAAACGTTGAAAGAGTGTCGAAACAGTGTCGAAACAGCGTCGGACGAGTGTCTCCCGGGGCCCGACACGTGAAAACCGGAGAGTTTCGGTGCAGTTTTGGTACTGGTGACCAAGGCTAAAATAGGTTAGAACATCATCGGCCGACGCAGCCCTCGGCAGGAGGAGTCGGCTTGCGGGCGGAGGCGGGCGCGGGGGGGTCGCCAAGGACCGCGCCGATTCCAGGGCGGCCCGCTGCCCCTGCCCAGGATTCCCAGGAACCCTCTGGGCCCCCTCGGCCTCGCAGTCGGCGCCGGCGTCGCGTCGCCCGCGGGCGCCAGCGGGGGGGCGAGAGCCGATCTGCGGCGCGGGTGTGGCGCGGGAGCCCCGCGCGGGCTTCGTGCCGCGCTCGCGCGTCAGGGCGACGGCTCCGGCCCGTGAGACCTCCCGTGCCGACGCGGCGGCCGCGCGCGCGGCGCGCGGGCGGGCGCCGCCGACCGGTCGATGCGGTTCCTCGCGCATCTCACGCGGGAGTGCAGAGGAGGAGGAGGAGGAGGAGGAGGAGGAGCCCAGAGGTCCCAAAGAACCATCCTATGGTTATATGAATTGCGTTGTTTTAAGTAACCATACGTATGGTTATATGACATATGTTGTTTTTATGTATAGTTTTATCTTGCGTGTGTTGTGCATTCTCCACGTTTTAACCCGTGTTCCACCGCAGCTTGCATTTTGCGCGACACGGCCTGCTATTTAACGGCA